CTGCGGGGGGCGACCGCGCGCCGGCGACCCCCGAAGGCTGGCACGGCACGCGTGCTCTCGCCTCCTGCCGCCCGCCCCTCCGGCGTTCGGAGAGGGCCTTGCAGTCACCCCTGCCCCGCGCGACTCACTCTTCTCGGCATCCCACCCCTACACCCCCGACCCGCTTCTCCCTCCCTCAGACTCCACCCCCTGGAAGGGATGAGGGGACTGGGATGGGCCTGTCGTCTGTGCAGGGAAGAGGGTCAGCAGACTTCCACTCGCTTTATTCCGGAGCACCCCTCACCCCGTCACAGTCTCTCTCCCAAATTAGCAGCACGCGTCTCATTCTCCCTCTCTCATCCCAACCCCCACGGGCAGGAGCTGGAGCTCAGCCTTGGAGGGGTGCAGCGAGGGGTGGCATGGGAGGGTCTGGCTGCTTTCTGTCCCTTCCACATCCAAAGATACACTCTACTCTCCCCAACATACACACCAGGTCCCAGGTCCCCAGTTTGAGGGAAGACAAACTCCCATACTGGGCTGTCTATGGGAATTCAAAAGCAGATACAATTCTTATTTTTGTCCTCTGGGTTGGCACTGGGTTGGAGGTGGGTAGGAATAACTTTTGCAAGGGAAAGGATGTTAGAAGGCAGTGAAGGAGGTGTGATGATGGAGGTGGGCAAGACCAGAGGGGCTTTCTTTCTTTCTTTTTTTTTTTTTGAGTTGGGGTCTCATTATGTCACCCAGGCTGGAGGGCAGTGGCACACTCCTGGCCACTGCAGGCTCGACCTACTGGGCTCAGGCGATCCTTCTACCTCAGCCTTCCAGGTAGCTGGAACTACAGGCATGCTTTCAAAGAGGGGCTTTCAAAGAGGAAACACCTCCATCTGGGTTTCAGGCAGATTTACGCACCTGCACATACATGCGTGTGTTTCTTCTCCCAGTAACCACTGGATGGTGTCCCAATACCCCAGCTGCTTTCACAGGTTTTTCTACTCCGCTTCTGCCCCTTCCCTGGGGGGAAAAATAAAATAAAATAAAATAAAAGCCAAGCCCAGTGATTCCTTGTCCTTTCTCCCCTTGGGTCAGGCTCCTGCTGCAGCCCCTGAGCAGAACCACCAAGAAGCTGGCCAAATTGATTTTTCTCCATGTCACAGGCCTCTACTGGCCAACAGAGAGTTGGACTGCAGGAGTTGAGGCTCTAGGCCAAGGGAAAGGGCAGAGTGGTGGGGGAAAGAAGGAAGGGATGGAGGTTCTGCTTAGCAATTGTCTGGCGAGTGTTTAAGGTCACGTAGACAGTGTGGGACAAGGCTGAGAGGCAACCACTCAGAACTCAGCTGAGGGAGCTTTCCCACGTTGGGTCTAACCCCCTAACCTACCTTGAATCTTAAGGGAAACAAAGGAAACGGATCCAACATAAGGAACTGGACAGGAAGTAGGACTGTGGAGAAAGGGGTTGGAGGCTTGGGGAGGAGCCAGAAGAAGGAACCACAATGAGTTCCAAACTCAGGAACTCTCCAGTCACTTAGTTTGGCACTATTTCTAAATGTTGCAGCATCTTGCAAGCTCAGGAAACATCCCAACCTTGGGTCCCCAGGGGCTCCGTAGTGAAGGAGTTTCAAAATGCCAATCCATGGAGGGTCACTGGTCAGAGACAAAAGTTCACTGGGCATGCTCCCATTTCCAAAAGAACAATGTGGTGAGGTTTTCATAAAGCTGGATGTGTTAGGTTTCAAAGGGCTGTCTTTTATTGAGAGTGTGTCCTTCTTACTTTTCTACCAAGTAATGATGGTGATAGCAAGCAGTAGGCTTTCTCTTTGTAATGTGCTTACTTCGTCAAATAGAAAAATTGCAAGACCTCAAGGTTTGTTGTTGTTTTAATTTTATTGAACCAGTAAAATGCAAAAGTCCGGGAACTATTAATGAAGTGCTTAAGAGCACAGAGTCACCACTTATCTATTTATGAACTTAAGATAGGATTGCCAGATTTGAAAAACGAAAACAAGGTCACAGTTCAATATGAATTTCAGATAATAATAGTTGTGTGTGTTGTGTGTGTGTGTGTGTGTGTGTGTGTGTGTGTGTGCACGTGTGCTAGTATTTCTCAACTATGGCATGGGACATACATTAAACAAGCAAACAAACAAATCTATTATTTGTCCAAGATTCAAATTTAACGAAGCATCCTGTATTTTATCAGGCAGCCCTTACCTTGAGAAAATCTTTTAATTTTTTCATTCTTGACATACACTCGGCATTTACTAAATTTTACTTGTTTTTTAAAAATTTATTTTTTATTTTTTGAATCGGAGTCTCACTGTCGCCCAGGCTGGAGTGCAGTGGCACGCTCCCGGCCACTGCAGCCTCGACCTGGGAGATTAAGGCAATCCTTCCGCCTCAGCCTTCCAGGTAGCTGGAATCACAGGCGAGCGCCACCACGCCTGGCTAATTTTTGGATTAGTGTATCGCCAAGTTGTCCAGTCTGGGTTCTCAGACAATCTTCTCGCCTCCGCCTTCCGAAGTGCTGGCATTCCAGGCGTGAGCCACCAAATTTTACTTGTTTTTGAAGCCCTGGCTACGGCACAAATGACTGTTTGATTTGATCTAATCACTCAATCTCTGGGAGTCCGAAACTGCAACTATAAAAGTTCTTTTGCAGACCTGCTGTAAAATTGAAAGAAAACAAGCTGAACACACGAGCTCCCCACGGCGCGCATCCGCCGCCCCCGCCCGAGCCCCAGCGGCCCGGGACTACACATCCCACAACCCTAGGCGGCGCGCCTCGCCATTACCTCATCCCCCGGCCTCGTTCTCGCCAATCCCTGCCTCGCCAGGGGTGTGGCTGCACGCAGTTCTCGCGACTTTTGCTCTACCCTTCGGCTGCGCTCCTCCTGTCGCGAGACTTCCTGCTGCTCCGCCGCTCCCTTTACCGCCGCCTTAGCCGGGGACCCGAGCCCAGCCTCTCCCCTACCCGAACACCGGCCCCGGCTCCACCGAGGCCCCGGTACCCCAACCCCGCCTCGCCGCCGCCATGGCGGACCCTAAATACGCCGATCTTCCCGGCATTGTGAGTACAGGGCCGGCCCCGGCTCCCCAGGACCGCGCCCCGGACCTCCCAAGGACCCCGACAGAAACCAGCCGCGGCCCCTCCCGCCCGCGGCCCGTCCTTCGCCGCGGGCCCCGCGGCGCGCTCCCTGACCGGCCGCGGCGCCTACCGCACTCGTGTGACCCAGCGGGCCGGGCCGGGCCGGCGGGCGGCGCCCCAGACTCCCTTTCCCGGCCCAGAAATCGTCTTGGGCGCCTATACTTGCGCCCGGTGTTTGTACCGTCGGTGTCAACCCGCCCCTGCCTCCCCATAAGGCTCCCCCATCCCTACTACCCCGGACTCACACCAAGCCATTTAGTGATGGCCTCCATCCTGCCAAAGAAGGGGTGACCCTGGGCAGAATCCTTCTTGTGCCAGTTGGGGTTCTGTCCTTCGGGGAGCCCGGGCCCCGACCCCCTCGCCCCCATGGAGTGCACCCTCCTTTTGTGCTGTCCTGCCTGCGTCCTCGGGGTGGGGGTTGGGGCCTAGGACGTTGGGTACTAAGGTCCTGAGTCACTTTCAACCCCTGTGCCCGGGCCTAATTCGAGGACAGCCCCCACCCACGTCTGACATAGTGACTGTCAGGCTCCCGCCCCCTTCCACATTCGGGATAACATCGTTGTGATCAGTTACATTCTGTTTACCATCAGATCCCAGTTGTCCCCGCTGTCGTCCCCACTCCCCCATCCCAGACATGGGCACTGACATGCTGTCCACAGGGCAGGTGGAGGAGGAAGAGAAAGGACGGAATCCATTAGCTTGTTCAAATGGAGTGGGGTAGGTGGTGTTGGTAGCTGCTGGGTAGTGAGGCTGGGTGGTCACTGCTTCTACCTGCAGGCCAGGAACGAGCCCGATGTTTACGAAACCAGCGACCTACCTGAGGATGATCAAGCCGAGTTTGATGCGGTAAGACTGTGTGCTGCCACTGGATTCCTCCGGACTCTGACCTCTTACCCCAGACAGGCCCTTCCCCTTCTCTGGCAAGTCACAGCAATAAGTGGGTATGCCAACCCCAGCCTGGGTGTTGTACGTAGGTTGCAGGGCTCGCAGGAGCCTTGCTGGGTTCGCAGCCACTACTGAGCAGTACCGGGAAGGAGAGTCAAATCAGGGGAATTAGAACTAATGAGACCTGTTTCCAAAGCCCTGATCCTTGGACCTTTTATATAAAATTGAAGTATCTCAAAACAGAGGTTTGGGGCTAGTGACTTAGGTCCCTGACAATGCATCATGAAGCCTGAGCACTTAAAATAAACTGCTTGAGAATAGAAAGTAGGCCTTCTGTTTCATAAAACATTTCATTCAATACACATTCATTAGTTGCTATCAAGAACTAGGCTTTGAAATAGAAATACTTTTTTATGGGAATAACCATTATCCATTGGACAAGGAGTAACACAATGATTTAGAGATTTTAGAGCAAAATAAATTTGAGGAAGAACATAAATCTTTTATACCAGCAGAGGAGAGCCTGTGGTAGCACTTTCAGACCAAGAAGGAGGAGGGAGTAATTCACTGTGGATGCATTTTTAACTATGAAGGGAAACACTTAGCATTGTTTATTGAATGTGTTCCTTCTGTGATGACTTTTGAGCAATGCAGAGATATAAATGTCCCTGCCTTCAAAGAGCCCCAGACTAATGTGGGAGTTAGGGTTCACTCAGGAAACATATGGTAGGAAAAGGCTAAAGGTGCATGGAAATCAACATAGTGAAAATTCTGCGTAAATGCCAAGGGGGGCAGAGATCTGCTAGCAGGTCTTGTAGGATGTGTTCTAGGTTCTGTTATTTCCAAATGGAGCTGGACCGTGATCGTGTTAACAGTGTGAGATCTCAGTAAAGGTGTGCCCAAGAATTATTGTAGTATGCAGGCTCAGTATGCGTGTCTGTAAGTCCTGTGAGTCCTGTGGCTCTGTCTGTGGGGCTGGTTAGTTCTGGGGAATGCTGGTTGCTGGCTTATAATGTATGGCTTGGCGTACTCACTTATTTCTAATGTGATTCCCCCTTGTGGAAGTGGTTCTTACGTTGTGGGAAGCACCTTCCCTGTGCCCGCCCTCAGTGGTATGTTCCTTGTGGCTTCTGTACTTGCTGGCATGTCAGTTTGTCCCCAGAGCTTCAGTTATCTTGGAGATAATGCAGATAATGTTGTTGCCCAAGGACCTAGGTGTGTATCTATCACTCTAAAAGTAGGAAACTGCCTCTGTCCTCACAGGGTAGGAGTGTATACAGTTGACTCTCCATATCTGTGGGTTCTGTGCCCACAAATTCAACCAATCACGGACTGAAAATATTTTTTTTAAATCAAAAATAGCAATACATGGCTGGGCGTGGTAGCTCACACCTGTAATCCCAGCACTCTGGGAGGCTGAGATGAGAGGATTGCTTGAGCCCAGGCATTCAGGACTAGCAACACAGTGAAACCTTATCTCGACCAAAGTTAGCCAGACATATTGCACACGCCTGTAGTCCCAGCTACTCAGGAGACTGAAGTGGAAGGATCGCCTGAGTCCAGAAGTTTGAGACTTACAGTGAACCATGCTCGAGCAACTGCACTCCAGCCTGGGCAACAGAGTGAGACTGCAACTCTAAATAAATAAATAACAGTAAAACAATAAAAAATAATGCAAAGAAAGATACATTGTGAAGGGCACAATAGGCAGGACAACAGCAAGAGTGTCTACTGCCAAAATAATACAAACTTTAAAAACATAGTCTAACAGCTATTTACAGTATTTGTGTTGTGCTAGGTATTTTAAGTAATCTAGAGACAATTTAAAATATACAGGAGGATATGTGTAGATTATATGCAAATACTATGCCAATTTATATAAAGGATTTGAGCATCCGCAGATTTTGGTATCCGAGGGGGATCCTGGAACCAATCTCCCATAGACACTGAGAGACGACTGTATGCGGAGAACTTGCTACCACAGTTCAGAGACTGTTCAACTCAGGCTTAGGCCTCTACCTATGAAATATCAAGCTTTCATGGTAAGCCAATGAGTAGAACTCCATCCTTTTGTCACCGACTGTGATACAAACAGGTAGTATCACAGCATTCCCCTTTCTAAACAAAAAATACACTGTAGTTGCCTTTGGAAGGTATTGGGATATTTCTTAATAAAAAGAAGCTGACACCCATTCCAGGTACAGAAGGACCTGAGTGTGCAGCTCTGATTGGCTCTTTCTCCCTGCAGAGCCTGAGCAGCCTATTTTAGCAGCATCTGGTGGGGTGGCTGATGGGCAGAGAATGCCATGAGTGTTCATTGCCTGTGGCGTGTTGCCCAGGATGCTGGTACAGGAGGGTGCCGGGGCCGGATGGAATTGCAAGGGGAGTTGAGGTGCCTCCATCAGCTGAGTAAGGCTCAGCTAAGCGACTCTCCATCGCTGGGAGGAGTGGGGCAGGGAGACCTTCAGCCGCTTCAGGAGCCCTCAGAACTGAGCTGTTTCCTGATGTTCGCTAATGTCTCTGGCCCCTGCGTGTCCCTGTGGGCCTTAGGAGAGCAGCTTTCGGGAAGTCGGCTGAGTGATGGCTCTGCTGCTGCTTTTAATACTGACGTCAACGTGCAACTGGAGCAGTAGTGAGCAGTATGCTTAGATAATCCAGAAACATCATGTCCATGGGGCCTGCGATCTCACTAGCAGCCTGTCCCCTTCTCGCCTACCCACCAAAGACCTAGTACAGGTGACAGTGCACTTGGCCGCTCTGTGGCTGAACCATGAGGTTTTCAGTGACCTTCCCAACTCCAGGCAACAGCATTCTCTGCCTTAGTCTCCAGATTATTTCAACTTTAATTTATTAGTATTTAAAATAAGTAATATATACACATGTTACAAAAGGTTCAAGGCTGTGTAGTGAAAAGTCTATCTCCCTCCCCTGCCTGCTACCACTCAGATCTCTTCCCTGGAGACAACCAATATGGCCAAACTCTTGTGGAACCTTTTGAAGGGTCTCTCGATTTCTATTTAAAGAAATAGTCGGCCGGGCTTGGTGGCTCAACCTGTAATCCCAGCACTTTGGGAGGCCGAGGTGAGTGAATTGCCTGAACCTGCGGGTTCAAGACCCACCTGGGCAACTTTGCGAGACCTCATCTCTACCATAAATCAAAAACTAGCTGGACTTGGTAGTGCGCACCTGTAGTTCTGGCCACTTGGAAGGCTGAGGTGGAAGGATCACCAGAGCCCAGCAGGTCGAGGCTGTGATGGCCAGGAGCGTGCCACTGTACTCCAGTCTGGGTGACAGAGTGAGACTCCAACTCAAAAAAAAAAAGAAAAAAAAAAAAAGAAAGAAATAGTTGAGGCATGTGTGTTAGCCTTCCTCCAGTTTCTCCACTGTAACGAAATCCACTGAAGGAAATCACATTCTCTAATACTCCTTAAAGATTTCAATTGCTAGTTCAACTTAAACATAAAAGTTTTATGTTTCCATAGTGGGGAGGATGGGGGAGAAAAGTAGTAAACGATTTAAATTATGCTACAGTTGATCCATTTTGTTCTACCATTCATTTAAAACAAGTTTAGCAGGAAGTAAAATATTCTAAAACAGGAATGGGCCGGGAAACTGCACACCGTAGCCCTTTTCTCCTCAGTCTAGGAAGATCTCTGCATTTCCGATCTTCCTGGGTTGATTGGAGCAATTGGCTTGCTTAGAGACTTTTCTTAAAATGTCTTGTTTAGAGCCGGGCTCAGTGGCTCAGCCTGTAATCCCGCGCCTTTGGGAGGCTGAGGTGAGTGGATTGCCTGAGCCCGCGGGTTCAAGACCCGCCTGGACAACTTAGTGAGACCTCATCTCTACAATAAATCAAAATGAGCCGGGCGTGGTAGCGCGTGCCTATAGTTCCAGCTACTCGGAAGGCTGAGGCGGAAGGATCGCCGGAGCCCAGCAGGTCGAGGCTGCGGTGGCCGGGAGCGGCCACTGCACTCCAGTCTGGGCGTCTGAGTGAGACTCCAACTCAAAAAAAAATGTCTTGTTTAGGACATTCCCAAAGATAATTTCCTCCCTGCTGGACCCACAGTCTGCTTTGGGTCAATGAGGCCTTCTGCTCATGGCTTTTGAACTGCTGAAGCAAGGAGTAATATATACTTGAGTAAATGGAGAAAACCTCACTATACACAGGAATTAGTTTCTCTCTTTATGGCATAACTACCCCCAGTGCTGTGTAAAAGGTGGGACAGGACCTAGCCAGAGTTTGATGGGCCCTAGCAGAGGCTTCATTTATCTGAAGGTAGATCCTTCTAGAGCCGCCTGAGATGAGAGCCAGCAGGTTTCCTTCCTTGCAGTTTAGACTATCATAGAGTATGCTTGATTGTGTTCATTGACTGTTGGCACACTTGAACTTACCTGAGTTTTTCCTAATGCTTCCCCCATCCTCCCTCCTTACCACCTTGCCTGGACACTAGTTTGCACAAGTAAGACCATTCAATGCTTCTTCTCTGCATGTTTTTTTCATCTGCCATCTCGCATGCAATGCTCTGCCACTGTGCTATTGTCGTAGCTAATCGTTTTAAATTCCCGTGAGTCCCTCGCTGGGTCACTGAGGGGCCTGCTGGCCTTCTGTTTAAAGATCATTAATCAAGGGTTAAAAACACAACTATGAGCCACAAATCATTGTCTCTTCCCCTTGTGAGGTCTGCGGAATAAAACTGTCCAGTGGAGGTTGGGATAGAAACACAGAGGCCATGAGTGCTTTTGACATGAGGCGTTGTGGGGCTCTAGTTAGAAGGGAGTTGTCTTTCTTCTCAGATGAGATCAAATTAAGAGACTTCTTATGGGATGACTTTTAGCGATTCTAGGCAAAGATGGAGAAGAACCAAGGGACAGCCACAGTCCTTACTTCTTAGCTATATGTGGATTATCCCTGGCAAAAATTCATGCTAAGCCTTTAGAGAAGTGTAAATGGGATGAGGAGGTATTATTTGCAATCTTTAGATAATAACTTGAGTTATCTGTGTTTTGCTCGTCTTTCTGTTTCTGCACCCCTCCTTTAGAAATGAATGGATGGTCAGCATTGGGCCGGTCCATCCGGGACAGTTTTATTCTGCAGTCCTGTCCATCTTCCTTGTCATCATGGTTCTGAAGTCCCCCTGGCTGCAGTGTTGGTGTAAAGCCTGAGGAGGCTCAGAGAGCAGCAGTGGCCACCTTCCCTGTCTGATTTAGAACTTCAGGTCTTGCCCTCTGAGGCACAGCCTCTTAGCTGAACAGCCCTGGGAGTCTGGGAGTCCATTAGTGAAAGGGCCTGGGAGTCATGTACCAGGCAAGCTAGTACCCAGGGCCAGGGCTCTTGAAATTTTCCGGTCCAGGAGGCTGTGGTGTACTAGGTTTCCAAGGCGACTGTTACTACTCCAGATTATAGGAATTATGCCTAAAATCTCATCATCCCTCCACCCACCCATAGCATAGACCTGGAGGTGGTATATGCTACTTATGAATTAATAGGCCACTTTTTCTTTGGTTTTCTGTCCTCTCCATTCTGCCGTTCCTCATAGTTTGCACTTGAGCTTATGGCCCGTTGTCCTCTCTGTCTCTCTCCTTGAGTTTCTCCCAAGCTGGTTGTAGCTTGGTGGAATGAGTCAGAGAAAGGTGTAGGGTGTGTACTTTCCTGTGTGTTTGCATGTGTGCACCTATGGGTGCTTATGCCCACTCTGCAGAGGCATCCTAGCCTGGACCATAGGACCTGGAGCCACCTGTACCCTGAGCTGACAGAATCTTGGCTGGGCTGGTCCCTAGCATCAGCCAGGGTCGGAGAGGTTTAGGGTCCAGTGTATCTGGCTGAAATCTTGGTGCAGGAAGCACTTGTCTTTCTCCCGCGAAAGGTTTTCATATCCACATAACCATGCCCAGCCCTCCACACTTCATCTACTCGTCAGTGGACCTCCTGGTGTGGCAGGGCATGCTGCTGATTTCCTCTCCTGGCAGTTCTGAACCAGTCTGCCTGGAAGTGGGTGCTTATCTAAAGGTCTGTGCTAAAATGAGGCCTCTGAAATATTCTCATCCTTCTGCTTCATCCGCCCTCCAACTCCTCTGGGTCTTGTGAACAGGGGGTGGAGGAAACATGTCCACACATGGGCTGGTAGCTGTGAATCCAGGTGTCCCCTGGACTCTGTGCTGGGACATCTTGGCAGAGTTGTTCTGTGTCCCTCAGCGCTGCAGGGTGAGCCGCCACCACTTGAGGTGGATGCAGACATGCCAGGCGGCAGGAGGAGCCAGGATTTGCCTGCCTGCTCTCTGGCAGCAGGAAATGGGCACAGGGCTGCAGTTAGGTGCATCATCTTCCCTTCAGCTCACCATCTGCACCTGACACATCTTGTTCTGCCTAACCTAAAGTCATCTCAGACCACCTATCTGAGCACCCTGTGACCAGTTCTGCCATCCAAGGTCTGACTTTCCGCAGTCGGAGAAACCAAGAGACAGGAAGATGTGGGCCATGAACGAGTGAGGGAGGCTCCTCAGCTGTGGGTCCTCAACGTCTCACAACTCTGCTTCACATCCCGCCACCTCTGCCCCCCCCTCTTCCCACACTGCTCCATGCCACTGGCTTGTGACATCCTAGAGCTCAGATGGTCCTAAGTTGCTGCTGTTAATGGCAGAGCTTCATGACATCACCACCAGAAAGGGTCTCATGTTCTTCCTCTTGGGGTGTGCGGTGACCCCAGCTGAAATGTCTCGGCCCCCAGATTTTGCTAGGCTCCCCAGGGGCCCTGTGGTGCAGTGTGTTTGAAGACTGTCATGTAGTGCATGTGACAATTTGCTAATAACAATTTTGTCTTTTTTTTCCCTCCCTCATCCCTGTTCCCCCACTCCCCTTCCTTTTAACTCTTGATTTTCTCACCTCTGGGGAAACCACAAGGAGCTGGTAAGAAGCCTGACCTTTCGTCTGCTTTTTAACGGGGTGTGCTATGATGGGCAGTTGTTTCTCTGTCCTTTTGTCCTTACTAAATCTTTCATTCCCTATTGAGTCCCACACCCAGCTGACCCTTTTTGTCTCACAAGTCACCGTAAATGACTCCGCCCCTAGCCCATGCCCTTGCTCTTCAAGACACTGGTGGAGTAGGTACTACCAGAGAACTACAGCGTGCTGCCCACCTGAGTCTCCCAGGCCACAGCCTTGGAGAGGCTCCAAAAGGATACCCGCATCGGGCAGCCCTCCTAGCCCAGGACATGCTCCTACAGCGGAGAATAGCGGGATGGAAGTGCTGTCCACCCTGTGACTGGCCAGAACCTCTGAGACCCACCTGTGTGTTCATGCCTTTTTATTCCCCTCTCTCCCTACATTGGAACATAAGTGAGAAAGTAGGTTCCCATGTGCATAGTGTCCGCCCCTAGTAAGGGCTTAACAAACCGTAGCTATGATTCATTTCTTTCCTTGGTCTGTAGGTTTTTAAAGGGGAGGGGGGTTCATTTCCCTGACGGGGAGCCAAAAAAAGGGGGGTGGAGGGGGGATTTCTGCCTCCTTGGCTTTGATTAGGGCTTTCACAGGGAGAAGTGGCACATTCCTGGGTGCAAACTTTAGAGAAGATGGTTGTCTGTCCCAAGCTTGAGTCCTTCTCAAACAGTTTTTAGAGGCCAGAGACCACATAGCTATTTGGCGGTGGGGGTCCTGGCTGTATCATTTCAGAGAGGGTTAAAGAGATAGCATTTGGGTCTCAAATGTCTCTTCCCCCAGGCACTTGCATGTGGGACTCTGAGCCCTTTTGTTTTTCTGATCTATAGCTCTCACCCCTCTGCCCAGCAGCTCTCTGAAGAGGTGAAGGTCAAACTGAATACTTTCTCCTTTTTCCTCTCTCCCATTATTGCTAAAGCTACCGCCCACACTGACTCCTCTAATAGCAGAGCAGAGATGAAGGCAGCGCTTCCGCTCCTTCTCCATGATGTCCCTCCATTCCCCTCAGCTCTCCCCACACCCCCACACACAGACAGAGCTTCTCAGTCATGGCTGCAGGTTAGAGCCACCTGGGTAGCTGGCTCTACCTGGCATAGCTCAATCAGAATTTGCAGAAGTGGGCCCAGGCCCCTTTTCTGTAAAGCCATTTTTAAGAGATTCTAATGTGCAGCCAGAATGGACAGCCACGGTCCTAGGTGAAGGAAAGAAGACTCCTTGTGCCTTTCTCCTGTGTAGGGTGAGGATGTCATCCCCAATGGGAAAGGATCCCCGGCCTCCTACCCCTTCCTCCAAGGACTCTTGGGAGCTGCCAGGCTTCTGACAGCTGGAGGAAGCAGGTGCAGTCAGTAGCGCCAGGCTTGGTGTAGTCACTGGGGTCTGCAGAGCATTAGCCATCTAAGAAAGAGGGAGCTTCTCTGCTTCGGCTTCTAGGGTGAAGTCTCACTCTCCACTGGGTCCCCCGCTTATGTGCGGGCCCACTCCCAACACTTTGGAAGAGCTTTGGTGCTTAAAGCACAGCAGAGGGGTTAGGGAGAAAAGGCAGGTGCTATGGCTCCCCTCTGGAGCCATGCTGGGCTGCATCCCTGCCAGGCTTCTGTGCAGCCCTTGCCCGTGGGTGCTTTTGGCAAGCAGATGTTGCTTTGTTGCTTCTAAGATGCCCCTTAAAAAACAATCCAGTAAGCCCTGCCTCTTTCTATCCTTGAATTCACTGGCCTCATGGCTGCCTGGAAACCAGGCTTCTGGTCAGGCCCTCTCCGATCTTCCTTCAGAATCTGAGACTGGTGTCTACCTTCAGCAGGTTTAAAGGCCTGATACTCACACTCAGAATTAGTGGCCTGATTGCCTTCCCTCCTCTTTCCTTCAGCAGAGATGGGAGGTCAGCTTTAAAACGGACCTGCTCAGTGGGCAGGGAGGTTTGCTTTTGGGAGGGGGAGGTTAAAAGAGGTCAGGTTGGTTTCTTGTCTTGAGCGCATGATGTGTGCCAGATAACTGGGAGGGGCGGGGCGGGGTTGGAGGATAGAGAGGCTTATGTACAGAGAGGGTGGGGAGGCTATGCTGCCTCTATTCCCAGTTCAATCAGGGTGTTAATATTTATACAACCGAGGCTTCACATTTACCAGGAAGCTTCCGTTTCCTAGGTTTAGCCTGGGTCGGCAACTTGGAATAGAGCCACCCTTCTTTCCCCTTGGACTAGTAGAGCCCCGTCTCCTGATGGCTTGGGGCCTTTGTGGGGTAGAGGAAGTTCTAGGGTGGGACCCAGTCTGCCCTGGCCTAAACTACCCATTCTTGCAGGAGGAGCTGACAAGCACAAGTGTAGAACACATCATTGTCAATCCCAATGCTGCCTATGACAAGTTCAAGGACAAGAGAGTGGGGACAAAGGGACTTGGTAAGACTGGGCTGGAAGTTGGGTGCGGGGAAACCTGGAGACAAGCATAAGAAGTGGCTTTCTGTCTTCAGGGCTCAGTGACTTCTGCTCTGGGAAAGGGTCCCTCATGGAGATCTGGTGTGGAAGCCCTCACAGCCGCTGAGACCATGGCTGCCCTGGGCCTCGGCCGGCCCTCAGTTTCATCTTCTTTTCTTGGCAGATTTCTCAGATCGTATTGGAAAAACCAGGAGGACAGGATACGAATCTGGAGACTATGAGATGGTTTGTTGTGTGTTGATGGGGAGGGTGTGGTGATCCTGTCTCGCAGGCATTTAGGAGACATGTCAGGGGTACAGTTGGGGTTCTGAGTTTCTCAGATCGAGAGTCCTGAGGAGCCCAGCAGGGTACAGTCGAGGCAGCTCTGTCCCCTGCTCTGAGCCTCTGGCCGTCTCCAGTTCTATGCTAGGATGTTGTGGGTTCTCAGTTGGCTGTGACACCCCTGTGACTTAGGCCCAGGGTATAGATAATTTTTTGAGGCTCCCTGTGATGGGAGGAGGTATGACATTACCCTCTGTGCTTGCTCTGTAGCTTGGAGAGGGTCTGGGAGTGAAGGAGACACCCCAGCAAAAGTACCAGCGACTACTACATGAGGTTCAGGAGCTGACAACTGAAGTCGAGAAAATCAAGGTAACTATAAATTCTCTTCTCCCCTCACTGCTGTGATTACACCGTAAAAAGAAGACCTCCAGCAAGAGGATTTCCTAGGCTCCTGGCTTAGAGGCTGGAGTTGCCTGAGTTTAGGGGTACACATGCATCTGCATTCAGTACTGCAGGCAGGTGGTCTGTTGGGCCACAAGCCATCCCTCCAGCCACAACTGTCCTTGAAGGTCTTGATCCATTTTTTTCTCTTTTTGGTCCATGCTTGCCACCCCCACTATCTGCGTTTTGTCATACCAGACAACAGTGAAGGAGTCAGCCACCGAGGAGAAGCTGACCCCCGTGGTGCTGGCCAAGCAGCTGGCGACCCTGAAGCAGCAGCTGGTCTCCTCCCACCTAGAGAAGCTGCTGGGCCCAGACGCTGCAATCAACCTCACTGACCCCGACGGCGCTCTGGCGAAGTGGGTGCCCTACTGTATCAGAAGATCATTGCTGACTGGGGTTTTGGGTGGGTTCAGCCAGCCCCTGGCAGGGAAGCTACGGGAGAGGTGGTCTCGCTGTCCCTGATGTGATTATAAAGCGAGTGAGAGAGTGGCTGGCTCTCTTCTCTCAAGTCATGGTGTGATCCTTTGGTCTTCCGACCTAGGCGCCTACTGCTGCAGCTGGAAGCAACAAAGAACAGCAAAAGGGGTTCAGGGGGGAAAGGCACCACTGGGACTCCCCCAGACAGCAGTCTTGTCACTTATGAACTACATTCTCGGCCTGAGCAGGATAAGTTCTCTCAAGCTGCCAAGGTACTTATGGGTACAGCGCCGGGTGGGAGCCGGTGCAATGGGCCCTGTCTCCAAGGGGAGGGCACTCTCATTCCAGGGAAAGGAGGCCCCGGGGTGGGAAATGGAAGGGAGCGCTGGGTAGAGCAGGTAGGACCTTGTTCCTCCCACTGGAGCAGCAGGGACGCGGGTGGCGGGTCTCACCTCCTTCCTCCCTCTAAGGTTGCAGAACTCGAAAAGCGCCTGATGGAGCTGGAGGCAACTGTGCGCTGCGACCAGGATGCACAGGTCAGGCGTTGTATGCATCGTCTGAGTCCTAGATCCTGCACCCTGAGCCCTGAGATCCATAGCTCCCACAGCCTGGGGGGAGTCAGGAAAGGGCTTCAGTCACAGGGATCAGCTGGTGGTCCAGGCTTGGACCTGGTGGGATGGGAGAAGGTGGTCATCACATGGTGATAAGAGGCCCTCTGATTTCTTCCCTCCTTTTCCCACCAGAATCCCCTTTCTGCAGGACTGCAGGGAGCTTGTCTTATGGTGAGCTGGGAAGGAACTGGAGTGTTTGGATTACGGAGGGGATGTTGGGATTGGATTTGCTTTGAGAACTATCTTTGGGTCTGTGGCTATAGATTAATTACCTCTAGTGGAATATGGGCGGCTTCCTCCTAGTCTGATCCTTACTCTCTCCCAACCCTCACCCCAGGAGACTGTAGAGCTGTTGCAGGCAAAGGTGAGCGCCCTGGACCTTGCGGTTTTGGACCAAGTGGAGGCTCGACTACAGGTATGAAATGAAAGGCAGAGGGGATTGTGGGCAGCTTGGGACTTTGGATGCCTGGAGTGCTGTCATTATCAGCCTTCAAATCTGTCCCTTCAGAGTGTCCTTGGAAAGGTGAATGAGATTGCCAAGCACAAAGCCTCAGTGGAGGATGCAGATTCACAAAGCAAGGTCAGGAGGACACCCTCCCCATCCTCACCCGTTGCGCCCCTCAGGCCCTCTGAGTGGTGGTATAGAGCCTGAGGCCACCGCAGGTCCGCAGGCCCCTGTCTTCATAGGCTCTCATCACCGGGACAGTCAGGGCCAGCCTTCCCTCTGCCCACTTGCCTCTCTCTGCGCTCTGGCAAAGTAGCAGGCCGTGTGCACTCGGCTGGCTGCCTCAGCTATCCCCCTGGCCCTGTTGCGTGCCTTCAGGTGCACCAGCTGTACGACACCATACAGCGCTGGAGCCCCATTGCCTCCACCCTGCCTGAGCTGGTACAGAGACTCGTCACCATCAAGCAGCTGCACGAACAAGGTGGGAGGCCAGCTCTGGGTGCCGAGAGAGGTGGGAAGTGGGCAGCTTTGTGTCTCCCTCATCTTGGACTCTGATCGCCACCATCTCTTTCTTCTTCTATAGCCATGCAGTTTGGTCAACTCCTGACACACTTGGACACCACCCAGCAGATGATCGCAAGTTCCCTTAAGGACAATACCACTCTCCTGACCCAGGTGTGTGCCCTTGATCACCTGCCATCCCCGTCTCCAGCACATGCAGATTGGCTTCCCAGCTTGATGGCATAGGGTTCTGTGTTAGCCCGTTGTGTAGCATGAGGTTGGGGCAGGGGCTGGTTTGAGTCTCCAGTTTCTCGATGGCTGAGGGGCCTTTGACAACACATTTAATCTGGGAACCTCCATCTTTCTCTTTGGGAAATCATATCTCCCTCAGATTTAGGTGGATGAGGTGGAATAACATGGGTGAACTGTCAGGAGCCTCTGAGCCTTTTTTTTTTTTTTTTTTTTTTTTAAATAAAGCCTCTTCTTTCCCTCTGTAGTCTCATCTTGGCTTTATTGCCATTAGGGTCCTCATAAGATGAAGACAGTACATTGGAAACAGTCTTGGCTCTGAAGTCAGGGGCCAGGCCCTGGCCTTGCCTCATTCCTTCATTCTTTCAGTAGTACCCATCACAGTGAGTCCTCAGTTTCTGTTGGAAGCACTGTTCTCGGTGCTGGAGGGAACTTTAAAAGTCAAGAGACCAGTATCATAGGACTATTAGGACCAATGACAAAATACCTGAAGGACTTGGGAGAATATCCTCTTCCTCTAAAGCAGTTCTCTAAAAATGTGAACCAGTAAAACCTTCACTTCAACAAAATATTACTTGGCTCTCATTACATAAAACAGATCAAAGAACTGTTCTCGTTAAAGTCAGGGTGGGAGTTCTCAAGGGTCCTGCCTGCTTGGTTGACCCTGAGCTTGGTTCGTGGTGCTCTGAGGACAGTCTAAAACTGCTGCTATAAACATTCCCCCTGGGGTCCATCAGCTGTGTTTCCATTTCTTTTGTCCTCGCTAAGAGAATTTTTTTCCAGGTTCTCATCCAGGTGAGCAGCTGGACCTGACAAAAAGTAAACTCTCCCTACCATTTGCAGGTGCAGACAACCATGCGTGAAAATCTGGCCACAGTAGAGGGGAACTTTGCCAGCATCGATGAGCGGATGAAGAAGCTGGGGAAGTGAGCAGTGTGGGAGCTGGAGGGCAGGGGTCAGCCCCACCTCTCTGACCTCTGTTAACAGCTGACATAGGGCTTCCCTTCACTCTGACTCTCGCATCCCCATCCCATCTGACACTGGGGCAAGGGTTCTTCTTGCATGTGGGGTTGACACCCCTCCCCTGATGAATACAGAGTGGTAGCTGGGGGTTATTAGAGGGGGGGTCTCCCCTCAGGCCCGGGAGGCGAGGATGTGGGCCCAGCCACATGCCAGCTCATGTCCAATACTGCTTTGCCTGATGTGGGGAAGGGTTGGGTCCTGTCCTCCATCACGGCTTCTGTGGCTGGCTGTAACACTGTACAACTGTTCTGACCATTAAATGCTGTTGTGCTCTGTGTGGCCTCTGCTGTTTCCTGGGGAAAGGGCAGCACTAGGACACATGGACATTTACAGCATAACAGGCAGTCTGAGCCACTCTTACTCCAGGAGAAGGATTTGAATTGCAACCTGTTCTTACCAAAGAACTAAATAAAAAATGAGCACAGAGCCAGAGCCAGAGTTTCAAAATATTCTCATCTGTTAAATTAAGAGTGTCTCCCATAGAAAAGCAGTGGAGGCCCCACAGGGCAAGTACAAAACAGAATTAAAACTCCCAAGGGTCTTGTCTTTACAAAAGAAAAGGCAGGAGGCAGCCCCTGGACAGCTGGTCATGCTGGCCGCTCCGGCTGGACCACGTTGCATAATCCTCAGTCGCATCATCACAACGTCTCTGAGCGTTTTGATGGGGGAGAAGGGGCAGTGTAGTGTGTGTGGGAGGAGAGGCCCGAGGCGCTCTTTGCCCCCTTAACCCCTTTTCATATCCCAGAGGAAAGTGGAGGGAACCTGGCTACACCTTGAAATGAGGCTATGTGTTTCAGACCTGGGGCCGGGGTGCGAGGGGATCTGTGCTTTGAGCAACCTGAGCCAGAGGCAGAGGGTGTTGGAGGGCGAGGGGAGGATGCATGATGCTTATTGCTTTGTACCTTTCACTGGGAAGGAGGGCGGCAGCCAACAGTAGCTCACAGGTTTGTAAACTGAGCCTGCTGGCTTTAAGAAGGGAGGCAATGAAGTCGAATTAAATATAAAAGAATCACTTGTGCAAAAATAACTTAAACAAATAAAAGACCTGGGGAAGGGGGTGTTCCCCTTAGCGCCTGTTGGGGAGAGGGCCATATACCACCCCCCCAGGCCTTTTCAGTGACATGGCTTTGGGGGGGAGGGGGTGAACTTCCCTACCCCCTGCGATGGCTCAGGATGGGATTGTAGGGGAAGGGGTTGCATTTGTGCTCTGAGTGGGGAGTAGTGCCCCACCCACTGTCCACAGGTGCAGGTGGCTGGCAGGGGCTCCCAGGGCTCAGCACTCAGCTCTCCCCAGTCAGGGTCAGATCCAGCTCCAGGTATGGCTGCTACGGGGCCAGTTTCCTCCTCTTGTTTTTGGCAGGACGGCCAGGGCGGGCCCGGGGAGGCAGAGGGACAGCCGCCTGTATGAGGGGGGGTGTGGGAAGACGAGGTCAGTTGCAGGCGTCAGGATGTCTCCTCCCCACTCCCTCTAGCCCCCCTTCCTGCTGCTGCTTGGTCCCTTCCGTCCTCCCACCCACCCAGACTCACACTCACTCGGGTTGCAGGGCTGGGTTCCAAGGTGACGTCCTGACGAGAGCTATTGCTGTTCCGGGTAGGGCTGCAATAAGGGGCACAGATGATCAGGAACAGCTCCCGAGCGCCGGGTGGCTTTCAGAAGTTGGGGTGGGAAGCCTTCTACATTCAGACAGTAAAGGCAGAATATCTTTATTCACGTTCAAAGCAGCGTCTGCCCTTTTTGAAAACCAGCTACGATCTGGGCATTGGAGTCATCCTGGGCATTGGAGTCATCCAAGCCAATCAGCAGCAGACCAAGGCCAGTGCTGTGGTGGGCAACACTCACTTGTATTTTCTCCTCCGGCCACGACGGGACTTTCTGACTACCCCTGGGGGCACCTGAGAAAAGATGGACTGTGTGGGGGGGGGGGAAGCTAGCAAAAGGCCACGGGCCCAGCCTCTCAGCCCTGAGCCCCGCCCTCCAGCACTCTGCACTCACCTTAAGGTCCTCAGAGTGGGGCCCTGGAAGGGGTGGATCCTTGGGCTCAGCACCCCCTTCCGCCAGCTCCCCATTATGCTGCCAGTGGTGGGTCCTTCTTGGGGACCGTTCCATTTGTCCATTGAAGCCACCACGTGTCCCCCATTTGAGGGCCAATCGGCCAGGCTCCCGCCGGCTGCCAGGCTTTCGGCCCCGGCCTGGCCTGGCCTCACCGTTAATGCCCCTAAGTCCCCCTCCTCCCCTCCGGCCCCGTTTCCCTGACCCCCTCCCAGTGAGCAGCTCAGGGACTGGGGGGTCGGGGGAACCATGGGGTGGGGCTAAGGCACTGAGGGGAGGCCCGGCAGGCTCCGGTTCGAGAGCTGAGGTGGGGCCCTCGGGGGGCAGACAGGGGGCTTCTGGCTGCTCTGGAGGGATCTGCTGGCAAAAAGCAAGTTCTCGATCAGTCTCAAACACAGTCCTGCTGCTGCAACTCAGAAAGCCTTAAACTGCCAGTCTGAGAAAAAATGATCTCCCTGACAAATCAGCCCCCTCACCTGGAGACTCTGTAGCAGGCAGGCTAGGGGACTAGAAGCCTCTGAGAGGGGGGGAGGAGCCGCGCCCCCAGGGAGGAGCTGCAGCCCCAACTGGCCAGAGAGAAGAGGGCCAGGAGGCTGCAACAGGCTGGGGAGGGTTCCAGGGCTGCTGGTCAGCGAAGACAGGTCACCTGTGGAGAAGTCCCAACATCCGGGTCTCTCCCTCAGCAAGCCGCTGTGGTGAGCTCACCCCGATGAGACCCCTGTCCTCCATGAGAACCCTGTCCTCCTCGGGCCTCACCCAGTGGCCAAGGCTTCCTTCCCACGCGCTTCCCGAGACACAGAGGACACCCTCAGACTCACCCAGCAGGCTGGCACTCAGCAGAGGGCTAAGGAGTTGGGGGGGTCTCCCTGAGTTGGAGGGGGCCTTGCCCAGAGAGGAGGCCCCGGGGTCAGTAGTTGCCGTGGTGACACTGGAGGTAGGTGGTCCAGGTTGGGGGGCACTCAGGACACAGGGCTGAGGAGAGAGAACGGCTTTGCAAGTTCCAGCAGCAGCGAGGCGCTGTCCTGAACGCTCCCTGGCGGAAGCCTCACATGAGGCAGGCCGCGCTTATTAAACACAGACCTGGTTCTTGCAGCCATCCTACCCCCAGCCAAGAAGTAAGGCCGCCCACAGGCCCTGAGGAAGAGCTCAGGCATGAAGCAAAGCCTCTGCCTCCCAAGGCTCATCTCCGATCCCACTTCTTGTTCCGTCCCACCCACTCACCCCATCCTCACCTGGGGGGGCGTCCCCGAGGGGGGATCCAGGCTGGCAGCCAGCAGCGCAGAATTTAAAGCTATGAGGGTAGGGGGGGCTGAAAGGGGGGGGAAGAGGAGGGGGGGCAGGTCTCCCAAACCTGAAAATGGCTCCCCACTTGAACCCCCGGCTCCCTCTGCAGATCCCTCCCCATCCCCAGCTGTGGGACCCAGGGCCAACAGGGGCAGGAAAGAGGCAAGGAGGTTGCTAGGGGGCGCGGAAGGGGGCGGCAGGAGGTCGGAGGGAGGTGGTGGAAGCAAGGAAGCCACCAAAAGCGAAGGCCCTTCGGGCTCGCCTGGGGCCAGGGGAGGGCCGGGTCCACCTGGTGGAGGCAGCAGGGGCTCGGGAGGAGGCTGTCCTCCTCCTGCAGCCAGCACGCCAAACAAACTGTGACTGAGCAGTGGAGAAGGTGGAGGCTGCCCCAGACTCAGAGGGAGAGGCAAGGCCCCCAGCATCCCAGGGAAGCCAGCTCCACTCAGCGCCAGGCCCTGCTCAGGGCTGGGGAAGGGGAAAGCCTCTCCACCTGCCAGGGGAGGCAGAGGGCAGGCTGGGCCCACCCCCATCCCCAGGCCATCGGATGGGCTTTGAAGCACAGGGCTGGGGACTACGGGGGCTTTGGAGGCAGCTGGTGGGGCAGGGGCACCTGTAAAAGAAGAGAAACTCAGCTCAAGGGAGGCCCTTCCTCTCACCATCCAAAGAACCCAGCCTCCCTGCCCCAAGCCGAAAGACAGCCAGAGCTCTCTCAACTTTCCCCTAAGTGCCCCGACTGCCTCTGTCCACCCCAGTGATGGAGGACTCCAGGACACTCACATACCTGGCACACTGCTGAGGCTGCCACTGGTGGTCCCAGGCAGGGAGGGCTGGATGGGGTGCCTGGGGTGGGGGGGGCTCCCTGAGGAGAGGGCTGAGGGAGGAGGAAGGTGTGCGTCTGACCCCAAAAGGTTAAAGCTTCCATCAGAGTGGGAAGGGCCAGGGGTGGGGAGTCCCAGCAGGGACAGCACAGAAGGGAGAATGGGCTGGGATGGCTCCGGGAGAGGAAAGGGTTGGGGGACAGGAACAGGGGCCCGAGGACGGCTCCGTCGAGGGGTCTGAGGGCCTCCCCCTTCCAGCAGTCGTAGTACAGTTGGGGGTCGGCGGGGACGCCGCTGAGAGGGGCGAAGGGACGAGGATGGGGAGGCTGAGGGCGCCTGGGCACGGGGCCTTCGGCCCTG